CCCCAAAACCCCAAAACCCCAAAACCCCATACTGGCCTATTAAAATTCAGTTATATAGATTATTGCTATTGATAATAATTGAAATTAAAATGGATATTGAAAAAGCAATGAAGAATATTGAGAGTGTTCTCAATAAATCCAATGAAACACTTAGTAAGAATAATTCCTTAAATTAATCATTGTCCTAGCTAAGAAGCCAAATCGACCTGAATCTCAGTAAAATTAAAAGCTAGGCAATACTTAAGGAGGGAATACTTAGAAAAAAGGAGGAGCAAATTCAAAACAATAATTGCAAAATTAGGGTAACACCGATTAGCAAGCTCCTCATCTATGTAATTTATTTAAGACAATTTTATACCTTTTAGAGCTTGGAAAAGATGTGAAGGATATTAAAACTCATGAATGGTATCAAATGTATGGAGATATTTCTTCGAAATTAGAATCTCAGTTAGAAGAAAATAAGAAAATTTAAGAAGATCTCGCTAGAAGATAGGATCGTTACCAAAAGAGAGAACTTGAGTATAGAAAGCATATAGAGGATTTATAGAGGGAGCTTAGAGTCAGATATGGTTATGAAACTGATGCTTACTAGAAAAATGAAAAAATCATTGGTGCTCTAAAGAAACAACTAGATGATAATATCGATGGAATTCAGCCAAAAACTAAGAAATTAAAGGAGGAATAAGAAAAGGACATTGTTAGGAAATTCAACTCTGAGCTCTCAAAAATGAAAAAAAAAATTGAAGAGAGGAAAACTTAAAAGGGCGATTAAGCAGCTGATTTGAAAGACAGAGAAAATGAATTGCATCATCATCTTGAACTTATTACTAATATTGCGCAGAGAATTGACAATGAAAACAGAGCTTTAATGAAGAAAAATTAAGAGTTAAAGCATGAGTATAAGACTTAAGAGGATGATAGAGAACTGCTAGTTAAATAATTGGTTATGCAAAAGAAGGAAAATGCCAAAATTAGAGAAGAAATTGAGTTCTATGAAAGAATTATTGAGGAGAAAGCTGAAGATGTTGATGATGAAGAGAATATTGATATTGACAAGATAGATACTGCGTCACATGCCTACAATGGAATGTAAAGCAAAATGAGTGGGAAGAGAGATATGAGTGCTGTCAACAAAAACTAAAATTAAAGATCCTAATTAAATACAAGAGGTACTAACAGATCTTAATCTAATGCTAACTAAATTCCCTAGTAAACTCAATAAACTGGCCCATTAGTATACATTCCGTAAAAGAAAGTTGAATCTGAAGAAGAGAAAGTCAAAAGATATGAGAGAGTTATAGAGAAGCTGAAGAAAATGCTTGATCATGAAAGAAAATCACTCAGAATGGGTAGACTTTAATACTAGAGAGAAATGCAATCAAAGACTGAACTTGAACACTTGCTCAGAGAAACTGTAGAATAAGTCAGGTAGGAGAGAAAGAATCAAAAGAAGTCCTAATCAATGGGTGGTGTTAAGTTTATTAATTCAGTAGGAGGCTAAAATGACAACGAAGATTTAAGTGATTTGACTTAGTCTGAGAGAGAACGAGTAATCGAGCTTCTTTTGAGTCAAGAGAGAGTAATTGCGCTCTTATATGAAAAAACCTTCCCTATGACAAGTGCTGATACGAATAAGATGAATTATGGTGAAGGCATACCTACAGGGGGTTAAAATCAAATGAGTTAAGGAAGCAGCTAATAATTGCATGAGATCTAAAACAATTAAGATGACGAAGATGAAGATGACTAATGATAACAATAGCAGTCTTTAATGGATAAAATATATTTAAAAATTTGAGACTAGACACATGACAAAATTAATCAATAAAATTTAAATCAACCATTAATATAAGTCTAAGTAATAATAAAACATATTATGTGTTAAAATCTTAGAGATCACTATATTTATATCTATATATTAGATTTAAGATTGATACTCATCTTCTATCCGATGAAATTGGTCCCTAATTCTGATATTGAAGTAAGTTCTTATTGTTTATTGAGGTTGTAGTAGTTTAACTTTATGATTAGCCTGAATGTTAAATCTTTTGCTATGCTTTATTTGCATTTATTGACGCACCCTGATTGCTAAGGCTATTGCTGTTGCTGCTAGAATCATTGGAGTTAAAATTCAACTGACTCACCGGAATCAGATGATTTTAATTTGTCTATTGATTAATCAAACTTTGCTATTGTTGATGACTCTATATTAGCTATTTTTGGTGTTTTAAATTAGTAATCTAGCCAATCAAATTTTTATCCTTATTATTCGTTTAAGCAGAGTTTGAGCCTTTAACTTAATTTTAGTTCACTAAAAGCCTCTATTACCTTAGAGAACCGATTCTTGTACTTTTATTTGTTTGATATTAATTCTTTGAATATGATGTAAGGTTCTTATTGGTTGTGTTTCTCATCTCATGATATATGTTCTTTATTTTATCTAGCATATCCTAATCATCAAGAGATGATTCAATTGATTATTGTGAGGGTGCATAACTCTAATTTCTAATGAAAAAGTTCTTGTCTTCCTTAATATTGTAGGGTGTAACCTCTTGATACAGAGGTTGCTAGATATTTGCTACTAGTGATGGATTTTAAATGTTTAGGTCATTGAAGTTATTTTATTGTCTATATGCATCGTATGGCTAAGTTGCACTTGTACCCTATGACGTATTGAATTGGTTCTTTATACTCTTTGATTCTTTGATAGCTTCCCTCGATTTCTTTTTATACTCTAGGGTGCTTGAAAAATTATTAATTGATGGGAATTTAATATTTTAGTCGTTTTATTAATGATGCTATAATTACGATTAAGCTTAATGAGTTTGCTGATGCGCAGGTAAGTTATTTACTTATTGTTAATGCGTTTGAATAGGCCCTCGCTTTAAAGCATTCAATTAATCTGGCTCAGTTAAAGCTACATTACTATTATAGATCCAATTATTATCAGGAAAACCTTCAATATTGCTTTAATATAGAACTGGTTCAACATGACTCTAAACATAAGTTGATCGGTTTGGATTATATCCTAATTCTTGTTTTTATTTATTATAAGACTAACTAACAGACTAATAACTCAAGAGTTATTGCTCACCTGGTTGCTTAAAAATAATTTCATCTTTATTCAAACTCTTTTTATGATTCTGTTTTTAATCTTACTCATGAAATTATCTCGAAGCTCTTCCACTCATCACGCTGTTGAAATGTACTTGCTATTCCTGCTAATTTGGATCAATTTTTTCTGCTGACAAGATATTAGATTTATTACCTTTGAGCTTAGATCTAGATTTTTACTCTGATTTTGCCTATGATTTGTTTCTAGCACCTCCTTGTATTTTGTTCGAGTTAAGATTTCTCTAGAATATTGATTCTTGATTCCGTTTTTAGGCTTCTTTCTCAATTAACTCCCTGTAAATGTCAAGATATTTATCTGCTACTTAAATTGGCATCTAGTCAGTTTTGATTTTTTTAACTAATTTTTACTTAACATATCTCATAAATAAGGAAGAGGCTGATTCATTGATACCATTTCCTTGTATCAAGGGCATATCTTATTTCATAAAATTTTGAATATTCTCAGCTTCTCCGTTGATATATTACTGAAATACAAATCCTTGCATTGACGTCATCCCTTTTTTCTCTTAGCTGATTCCCTAAACTCCTTAAGTTGGATTGTTATGTCCTATTTACTGTTACTAATTTTGATGCTGCGAGGTTTAATGATTTTAAAATTGTTATAGCTATTATTAAAATGTCACTTGAGTATGGTTATTATTGTTGTTAATATAGAATTGTTGAGCTTAATCTCTTTGATCTATTTAGGGCTGAACTGGTCCCAATACAGGTGATTTGTTAATTATCTTTTTAGAATTATTGCTATTATCATTAGCTATAGTAGATTTGCCTTTTTTTACTTAACTGTGGACAAATTTAATCTGTTATGTATTATATTAGGGCTAAGATGCTAAGTTTAATCTTTATTGCTAAATTTATTGTTGCTAATTCTGCAACTCATTGCTCAGATTATTTTATGTTTAATGGATAGGCTTTTGCTAAATTTACCTGAAATTACTTTAAGTTTATTATCTTTATTATTATAATAGCTACTGATACTTTTATGCCTCACTATCTTTGACACTTTTTTATTTTTCCTTTTTTTATCTCATATTAGATTACTAATCATTGTCATTTGAGTTACCATTATTTGTGCTACTTTGGTGATTTTAATTCACAATTTACTTAGTGATAAAACAATCTTTGATGACTTACGAAATATTTTCTTTTCGTCCATGCTAACTTAACTACTATGCTTAGAAAATTTTTAGTTGTTGAGTTGATATCTAGGCTATGCTCTACGGGTATTATTATATAGACTGCCGTTATTATACTTAGTTACTGCTTGTTTATTATATGTAGTTGTGCTAATGTTAATGATGCTATTAGGAATGTTTTGAAGCTGAATTTTTCTATTCAAATATGGAATGTGTAGTCAAAGGGTAATTGATAATTTCATCTCTTTGAATAGGACTCTATGTATTAGACTTCTTCAAAATTTGCTGATCAATGTTTATCCCGGCATTATAGAATTAAGGTTGATAAGGGCTTTTTCGAGAGTTTTTTGTTTAAGGATTAGCATTTATTTCTTAATTTTGATTGATGTTATAGTTTCTATTCTGCATTTTTTCTGGAGTTTGAACTTCTCCAATTTAGTTAGTGCTTACAATACTCATTTGATAAGCCATTTTCTATTCTATAATTGATTGCTTTTAGTTTTTTATCGGTTATCTTATTGTACTTGATTGCTTTACAAAAGGATACTTAGCAAGTTTTTGATTTGATGATTAAGTTAAATGCTTTTTTGGGTTTAAAGTTTCCTCTATAATTCCAAGCATTCTCTATTAATCTATAAATTCTTAGTCTTCAATTTCCTGTTAAAATTTCAAGCAATATTGCTTTCTTTCATCCTCATAATCCTTTGTGTTTTTAACCTAGTATACCTTTTCATACATATCTTTTAAGTCCAAATTATCAACTGAAGGATTTGAACTACTACCATCTGAAAACTCATCATTAGGATCATCAATTTAGTCTACCTCTACTACTTAAAATGCTTCTTCAAGTTCATTTACTTAAAAATACTATCTCCAATTGATGTTATCTATCATGCCATCAAGATTATTCTATTATTAATTAAGAAAGCCTCCATTAATCTAGCCATTATTACCTTTTTATGGAGAATCATATATAGATTTTTCATTCCTTGAAGTTTTTTATATAATCTTTATCTTTGGGATAATAACTCTCTTCCTAGTAAGGTAGCCTCTAATTAAGGCTTGAATTTTAACCAAACCCATAAGTCTAATATAAAGATCATCATAATCAATGTTATCAACACTGTTTTAATGGATATTAGGGTTTTTCTATTGAGAGTTAAGATTATTTATTGAAAAAGTTTCACTGTAAGTAGCATTCATTGTTTGATTTCTACTCTTTTCTTGAATTTAAATTGTATTGGATTGAGAGTTTTATTGTTAAAGAATAAGTGGATTTTTTATTTACTTTGTAATTGGCTGAAGATTCATTAGACTGCTACTCGGTATTTCATTTTTAAGATGCATATTCTAGATTTAAAGCACTTTAGACAATTTTTTCTTCCCATCTTATGGACTCTGGAAAGTGTTGTAGAATTTTTTCAAGAATTATTCATAAATTTCTATGGCTTTTTTCTTTTAATCTTCTTTCTTTTTTCTTTGCATTTCTTCATTTAACAGCTATGCAGCAGGAATTCCAGTAATTTCTATTAATTTTCTTGGTTTAAGCCAGCCGTTAGTTAGCTTTAATTCATTTCTTATTGACTTCCAAAGAAAGTGAAGGTCGAAAATTGATTAGCATAGTTTGACTCCTAATTCTTAGTAATCTTTTTATTCAAATGTTTTATGTGAATCTTCTCCGAAGTCATAGCCATAGAAGCTAGTTTCAAGCGTAAATGAATGAGTTATCTGAAATTGTTTCCATGCAACTACCCTTGCTGTCCCTAATTTATAAGGTTCTACTTTGAATCTACAATCCTTAAGACTAAAGAAATGTGTTTTCTTTGCAAAAATTCTTGGTAAGAGTCTAACAATAGTCCAGCTTAAAAATCCTCCGTTTGCAGCTGTATTACAGCCATAGAAAAAGCTATTTTTCTTTTTACTATGTCCATGCAAATCACAATAAATCCAAAGTTTTCTCTTTTCAATCTCATACATATTCTTCATACAGTTTTTAATTGCAAATATTTCTGGTTGAAACTCATGATCTGGCATAATCCATTGTCTATTCAAATCAACTCCAGCTACTGAACTTCGATAGTTTCCACATACTATCCCATCAGGGTTCAATGTTGGTACAAGTACAAAAGTGTAAAATTTTCTTAGATATTTAGCTTCACTTGAATTTGAAGTCAAAAATTAGTATAATCCATGAAAGACATGACTTCCTGGAGTCTCCGCAGCATGGACTCTTGAAGTTATTACTATTGTTGGCTTTTTCTTATAAAATTTACTTTCTTTGGAAATTGTAATTAGGAATAGAGGCATTCCGCAAATACTTCAGCATAATTCTTCTCTTTTATAGAATATACTCTTACTTGGAATTTCAACTTAATAGTTCATGTAGTTGAGATCCTTCTTGATTCTAGAACCACCTACCATTGCTTTAGTTCTTTCTGTCTCTTAATTGTTATTTTGTTCTAAAAGCTTTATCTACTAAAATTCATTTTCTCAACTTAAGATTGATGTGGTCATATCTGAAAGAGTCAGAGGTAAAGCAAAAGAAAAATATACTGAATCGTTGTCGTTCTCAAATTGAAATTCGAATTTCAATGCATAATAATACTAAGGCTTTCTTTTTTTATTCGTCTTTTTATTTAAGAATTTGTTACTATTGATGTTTTAACCAGCAACCTCTTCTAATTAATCTTCTGGTTAGTCTTCTTAGTCACTATCAGCGGCTGCTGCTAAAATATCTTTTCTTTTCCTCTAGACGTTAGTTTTTATAAATTCCAATTGATCACTGTCAATTTACTTCCAATCTTCATCATTTTTAGTCCTATAATGAATTCTCTGTAAATGATCTTATTTCCTCTAGTTATTCAGGAACCCTCCATAATTTCCTCCTGTATTTAAATTAATAACACCTCCAATCCCAGTATTTAATTGCTGTTATTGCATTTAGTCAGTATTATTGTTGTTTTAATTGTTAACATTTTGTGTTTGCTGTTTGACTAGCCCAGGTTTTGTAAAGTTCATGATTTTAAAACAGTATTTTCTATTAGCTCTGGTATTCCTTACTCTGAAATAAAACCATTACTAATGACCTCTGGTGTTTGTATCCACTTGCATATATAATTGATATTCTGATTGACTTGTCATCTCTGCTTGAAGAAGATTACCTGACTCAAATACTGAATCAAAAATAAGTATGTCATTGTTGTATTTTTATAAGAGCTTTCTCCTATTACTATCTGAATCAGTAAGATAATTTATCAGTTTATTTGAAATTCCTTTGATTTAACCTGAACCTAGATAATGCTTCACTTACTTTTTATTTAATTTCTTAATCTTTTTACAGATTAAAAATTGCATGTATTCTCTTAATTCAGTAGAGTTAGTTGGCTCATAAGCTTGATAGATTATTTCAGGACCTTTTGAGCCGTTCGCTGATTATATATTCTTATCAGATTGCTAATTACTCTAAATATCAACCTAAATGCTATCTATGTTTCTATTGTTCTTTCCATTATCTAAATCTTATGATCTGTTTAAGTATGATGCCAAAAAATCCTCGAGGAAATCATTTTCATACAAAACTTTAATAAAAGTTTTAACTTTTCCTCCATTGTTATCAAAAAAGCTTCCGAACTGAGAAATCTTTTGGTTGCAGTCAGTGCAATGCCAGTTTGAAACATTTGCATGTGGACAACCATTATCATCAGTTTGTTTTCATCTCAATAATGTTGGTTGTCTCTTTATTCTAAAAATGGATTAATTGACTGATTAATTTTACGCTTTTAATAGTTATGGCTCTGGATGATTTTAGTTAGGATCAATGAGAGGCATAGGCTTAAGTAAATCAGATTCAGCAAAGTTAAAATGAAAGCCACTGAAACTACTCCTTTTCTTTTTATGAGAATAGCTGCTTTTATCAACTAAATATTAAAACGTTTATAATGAATGGGTACGGATTGGTGGTGATGCTTATGAGTCAATGTCTGACATCTCTATATGTTAATTTTATGATTTTAATAGAAATTAATTTTATTGTTTTAACAAATGTAAAATGCCAAAAATATTCATCTTTCGGGGTTTTGGGGTTTTGGGGTTTTGGGG